TTCATCGCATTAGAACCCCCCCCCCCCCCCGCTCGCTACAGTAGAACTCCATTTATGCGAACTCCATTTCCATCAATGCCCGATTTTATGTATCCTAGTTCATCCTAGAACATTACTCCAATTATGCAAAAGTCGATTATACAAAGTGTCCCAAAAGTTACTCGCAATCGGGAAATGGGTGATCCCTGAGGTCGTTTGAAGTAATTTTTTCCTTGGCAATCCGCGACTTCGTTTATCAGTTATTAGCGAAAAACAGTGGCCAATTGGCATGAGGCGGCCGAGCTCGCTTCTCATTGGTCAATGTTTTTTGTTAATAACTCGTGAACAAAGCCGCGGATTGCATTTGCGTTGAGGAAAAAGTTACTTCAAATGACCTGAGGAATCCCTCATTTCCTGATTCTGAGTGACTTTTGGGACACCCTGTATGACGGACTCTTAATTACTGTTATAACCTGAGGACTCAGCAAGACGTACAATAAGACACGAAAGTATTCGAACGCCTTTGAAGCCGGATTAACTTGTTCAAAATCGGACCAAATGATTTAAATTCTTTTGAGATTTTAGACGGTTTAATTTACTAGGAAACGGCGAAAAAATTGTTTTCAAACATTGCAATTGATTGAAATAACAAAGAAAAAGGATAAAAATCTCTCGTTCCTCAGCTTTTTTATCTGAGCCTATAACGAAAATGTAAAAAATGCTTTTCGTAGATCTCGATAACTTATATGCGTGCTGAAAATTTCATTAACTTTTCATTCAATTTTTTAGCCAATGTCTCAAAACAATTCAGATCGCTTGACCCAATAATAAAAAAGCAATTTCGTTTTAATCTCTTAGCTGTGGACGACGTGTATATACACGTCATAAGGAAATTGTAATTTTATTATACATCTTACAACAAAAATACTTCTCTTACAATTTAGGTTAAAATGCGTGTGGAACATGTATCATAAATTTCGTATATTTTAGAATAATTTTAGAACAACTTGCCAAAAGAAACTGCACCCAGTGTGATCGCTAAAACGCATACAAAATTAATCTTAAAAATAGATCGACGCAGTTACGTGGTTAAAAAGCATCCGAATACTTTCGCGCCACACTGTATGATCGTATCCCCTTATCTGAACGTGAAATCCAGTTATTTGAAGGAAAAGTTGCAAGTATCGAGGGCAGTCAGTCGACTTTTATTACATGAACTATCTTGTTATACGACGAGTTCACATAAACGGAGTTTTACTGTGCTGAGCAATCATGTTCGTGTTCGTACATTTCTGAAAAGCGACTCTCCTAATATACTTCAATACGTATAAAAAATAATACACATATTTTTAGCAGCGACGGTCCATTTTCCCGTTCGTTTTTCGTACTCTGTCATTTTTTAGTCGATCAAACTGAAGACCAATCATCGTTAATTAGTAAATTTTTTTAAATTTAAATTTATTTAAATTTTTTACTCACACTTTTATGCTCGGTAAATGAATTTAAATCAACCAAAGGTACACTAAACATGGATTTTGATGTTTGTAAACCAATGTCGGACGTTCATAGAAGTCA